AAGAGCATCAGGTTGGTTTAAATCCAATGACTGGTCGACCGCGTATTGCTCCGGAGGTGATGAATGGAATGAGACAGTATTTGATGGTGGCTGAAGGTGCTGAAAGAATTGCAAGACAGGAAAGAATAAAGAAATATTTGGAAGATTTAAAGAATGATCCATTAGGGGAGAAAACTTGTCTTAGACTGGAGTCTCCTCCAATGGTCTCAGGGGATATTTCTAAAGGCAAAGGTTTTGTTTTCCAGTATGCAAATTTGAATATTGAGGCTGAGAAAGAGATAAAGTTGGTGAAGAATAATAAGGATGGTTTGTCAAAAGCTCAAGGTAAGAAAGATTTGAGTTGGTCTACTGGGAATTCCTTTTCTAGTATGGGAGGAGAGGCCTCGTTTGCGTCTGATCCGGGATTACCTTTTGCGGAAGGTTCAACGGTATTTAGAACAGGCTTCTCTGAAGCTAGTTCTTCCGGGATCTTTCTAAAGAATGGTAAACCGAGAAAAAGACCTTTCAAATCTAGGAGACGCAAAGGTGGTAAGGCTGCGGTTAGTGGTGTTGGGGTATTGGAGGTTCCAATTTCTGAAGTTGCTCAGGCTGGGCAGGCTGAACCAATGAAGTTGGTGGTTTACAAAAGGAAAGCTGCGGATGAGGCTAAAGTTCCATCAAAAGTTGCCAAGCGCAACACAAATGAGGTGGTCCCAAAGGAGGGACCGTCCCATCATTAATGAGCATTCTTAGTTGGAATTGTCAAGGATTGGGCCGTGCACAAGACTTGACAATTTCTAGACTCAAGGAAATCCGTAAGGAATTTTTCCCTGAGTTATTGTTCTTAATGGAAACCAAAAACTGTTGGAATGTGGTTGTAGATTTGCAAGAGTGGTTAGGGTATGAAAGAGTGTTTACGGTGAATCCAGTTGGTTTAAGTGGTGGGCTGGCTCTTTTCTGGAAAAAATGTGTAAAGGTGGAGATTAAGTATGCTGATAAGAATCTAATTGACTTGTTTGTACAGTTTGGGTCTGTTAAGTCTTTTGTTTCTTGTGTATATGGAGAACCTGCTAGTGTGGATAGACCAAGGCTGTGGGAAAGGATCTCAAGGATTGGAATACAAAGAAAGGAATGTTAGTGTATGGTTGGGGATTTCAACGCCATCATTCATAATGGTGAGAAGTTGGGTGGTCCTAGAAGAGGTGATGCTTCTTTTCTTCCTTTTAAAGATATGCTTCAAGCTTGCGGTATGAATGAACTTCCTAGTCAAGGGAATAGTCTGACTTGGGGAGGGATGAGAGGAAATCTTTGGATACAGAGCAAACTTGATAGGTGTTTTGGGAATAAGGCCTGGTTTCAACAATTTCCTATTGCGAATCAAACATTCCTGGATAAGAGAGGCTCTGATCATAGACCTGTTTTAGTTAGACTCACAACTACTAAGGAGGTCTACAGAGGTAACTTTAAGTTTGATAAGCGGTTTTTGAATAAACCAGATGTTAAAGAGGCTGTTCAAAGAGCTTGGAGGAGTGGTTTTGGGAATAGTGAGGTTATTGTTTCTGAGTGTTTAAAGCGGTGTAGAAAGGAGTTAAGCAAATGGAAACGCGCTAATAATTTATATGCCAGAAACAGAATTACTCAAGCTCAGATTGGTCTAGAGGAAGAACAGTTTTCTAATTTCCCTAGGCTAAGAATTGTGACAGGTCTCAAAAGAAGTCTATGTGAGGCTTATAGAGATGAAGAAATATTCTGGAGACAGAAGAGCAGGCAAAAATGGATGAATGAAGGTGATAAAAATTCTAAGTACTTTCAAGCTTCGGTGAAGGCTAATAGAGGCAAGCAAAGATTGGATAAGTTGATGGACATCAATGGGAATTTGCAGTCATCTGAAGCTTCCAAAGGCTCTATTGCACAAGCGTATTTCACTGATCTCTTTACTTCATCTGTGCCCGGAAATTTTCAAGATCTGTTTCAGGATTTTCATCCAAGAGTTACTGAAGGTATGAATAGTGCTCTGATCTCTCAAGTTACAGATAAGGAAATTAAAGAAGCGGTCTTTGCTATTAGACCTTCTAGTGCTCCTGGGGCTGATGGGTTTAATGGGTTGTTTTTTCAAAAGTTCTGGTCTGTGATTGGGGGTCAGGTGACTAAGGAAATTCAAAGCTTTTTCATCAATGATGTTTTCCCAATTGAATGGAATTACACTCTCTTATGCTTATTACCTAAGGTGAAATCTCCGGAGAAGATGGCTGATTTGCGTCCCATAAGCTTGTGCTCTGTTTTGTATAAAACAATCTCTAAGGTCCTGATTAGAAGATTGCAGCCATGGTTAGGAGATATCGTCTCTGTTAATCAGTCGGCATTTGTGGCTCAAAGACTTATTTCAGATAACATCTTGATAGCTCATGAGTTGGTGCATGGTCTAAGGACTCATCCTCAAATTTCTAAACAGTTCATGGCGATCAAGTCTGATATGTCAAAGGCGTACGACAGAGTTGAATGGTCCTATCTCCTAGCCTTGTTGAATGCTTTGGGGTTTCACAAAAAATGGGTTAGTTGGATCATGTTCTGCGTGTCTTCGGTGTCTTTTTCTGTTCTAATCAATGACCAGCCTTATGGTATGATTAAGCCTGGAAGAGGTCTGAGACAAGGAGATCCGCTTTCACCCTTTCTGTTTGTTCTATGTACTGAAGGATTGACGCACTTGATGAATAGAGCTGAAAGACAGGGACTGTTAAATGGGATTCAGTTTTCTGAGGATGGGCCGTCGGTTCATCATTTACTTTTTGCTGACGATAGTTTGTTCCTGTGCAAAGTTGATTCTGATCAGGTGAGGGTCATTAAAGAGATTTTCAACGAGTATGGTGAGGCCACAGGTCAAAGGATTAATTATGCTAAGTCTTCGATAACCTTTGGGGATAAGGTGGATGACAGTCTTAAAGTTGCTATTAAAGCCCAGCTGGGGATATCTAATGAAGGAGGTGCTGGATCTTATCTGGGGCTGCCGGAATGCTTTTCAGGCTCAAAGATTGAGATGCTGGATTTTATAAAAGATCGTCTTAAGTCTCGCTTTTCGGGTTGGTTTGAGAGGTCTCTTTCGTTGGGTGGGAAAGAGATTCTGTTGAAGGCGGTGGCAATGGCAATGCCTGTTTATGCGATGTCCTGTTTCAAACTACCTAAGACCACTTGTCAGAATATTACTAGTGCGATGAGTGACTTCTGGTGGAGTGCATTGGAACATAAAAGGAAGATTCATTGGGTAAGTTGGGACAAATTGTGTTTGTCTAAGGAGGATGGTGGCTTAGGGTTCAAAGATATTGAATGTTTTAATCAAGCCTTATTGGCCAAACAGGCTTGGAGATGTGTGCAGGATAAGGATTGTTTATTGGCTCAAGTCTTAAAAAGTAGATATTTTGAGGAGGAGGACTTTCTGGATGCTGAAATTGGGTTAAGACCTTCCTTTGGATGGAGAAGCATTATGCATGGTAGAGAGTTGCTAATCAAAGGGTTAAGGAAGATGGTGGGCAATGGTAAGTCCCTAAGTGTTTGGATGGATTCTTGGGTCTATGACAATGTGATGAGAGCTCCTTATATCAAAAATCCTATCATTAATTATGATTTGAAAGTGGTGGATTTGATTGATAGGGAGAATAGAAGTTGGAACAGAGAAGCCTTGGAGGATCATTTTTTCCCTAATGATATCAGTCGTATTATGCTTCAAAAACCTGCTGTGGATAGGGATGATTTTTATTCTTGGGAGAATACAAAAAGTGGGGATTATACAGTGAAGACAGGGTATGTGCTGGCTTGTGAGGTAAACAAATCAGATTTCTTGTTGCAAGCTAGGATGCAGCCGTCTGTGAATGGGCTAAAGGAAAAGATATGGTCTCTTAAAACAGTTCCTAAGATCAGGATCTTTTTATGGAGAGCTTTAAGTGGTGCATTATCGGTGGCTGAGCAATTCATACATAGAGGTATGGCGGCTGATAACAGATGTCAAACTTGTGGTGAGGAATCTGAATCAGTAAACCATGTTCTTTTCACTTGCTCGGTGGCGAGACAGGTTTGGGCTCTTTCTGGTCTTCCTTGTCCTCGTTTTGGTTATGGAGTGTGCTCTCTGTATGCGAATTTCCAAACTCTGTTTGATTTTGTTATGGATAAAAGGCTAGATTTGAGATCCAAAAGAGTTTTTCCTTGGATTCTTTGGAGGTTGTGGAAGAACAGAAATAAATTCTTCTTTGATGGTATGGGTTTTTGTCCTCAGGATTCAATGCGGAAAATATGGGATGATGTTGATGAGTGGATGTTGGCTCAAAATGTTGCCCAGAATGCGGAAGAGGAAGTGGAGAGTCTCACCGGCTCAAAAGTTAAAAAGTGGGAAAAGCCTCCTGACTTGTAGACTAAGTGTAACATTGCCTTGTCTTGGTCTAACAAGAATCGTTTTGGTGGGGGTGCTTGGGTGGTTAGAGATGTGGATGGGAAGGTTATAGTACATAGTAGGAAGGTTTTTGTGGTCTGAACAACAAGAAAGAGGCCATGCTTATGTGTCTAACTTGGGCTATGGAGAACATGTTCAGCTTGAAGATGAATAAGGTTATCTTTGAGGCAGAGGCTCATGATTTCATTGGTGCTATGACGAGACCTAAAGCATGGCCTTCTTTCAGTCATCAGGTGGTGGAGATTAATCATTTTTTGGGTAAGATTAAGGACTGGAAGTTGGAGAGTGTAAGTGCTAATGCAAATAGAGGGGCTGGTCTTATTGCTGAAAGTGTTACTTCCGATGGAAGATTTCATGATTATGTGGCGGCTGGCCATCCTTGTTGGTTGCAGGGACTGTTTGAAGAGGAGAGACTTGCTTCGTTGATTTCTTAACTTCAGTTGTCTTTTCTTTGAATCTTTTTTTGGAGGGTTAGAGAGTGTAATCCTTTCTCTAAGCTAGATACATCTTGATTGTGCTCAAGGTTGTGTTGTAATGGATCATGTCTTCATTCTAATATATTTTACCAGAAGGAAAAAAAAAAAAAAAAAAGATACGTATTATAAACTCTCTCACTAAGCATTCTATTTCTATATATCTGTTTGTTCTTTCTTTGTATGACAAAAAGTACAAAAGAATGGGATGTGAATTACTTACTAACCTAAGCTAAAACCAGAAAAGTAAAACCTCGAAAGAAAGAACTAAAAGATACTCTATTTGTGTCTATATCATACATGTAACATGTTCCATTGTGTGATCACTAACTATAAGTATGGAGCAAACCCAAAGTGTTGCAGAAGCTGTACAGTGAGAGGAGAACGAAGATCTCGCTTGTTTTTTTTGTTCTATGGCAATTTGCACGACTCAATAACTTCCATAACTGCTTTATGAGTTTCCGGAGGAATCATGTCCAGTGTTGTATGAAACGCCTAACACAATAGGAACAATCACATGGTCGCATCAAAAGGTTTCAGTGTCCATTCCACGTCGATCTCTAAAACTGAAATATGAAGGGTTTAAAGGAACGTACCAAAAATCTATCCAACACCGGTACCAGAATTGCCATGTTGCGTTTTGGGAGATAATCTCTGATGGCATTTCGTATACTTCTACTGCTAAAAATAAGAGATTCTGTTACAACTTTTCCAGAGTTAGAATACATAAAAGGGCAGAAAGGAGGATATTAATAAATAACCTTTCTGTGGATAGAAATGCGAGCAGGAGGGCAGAATATGCCTCCACAATCATCTTTTCCGCTTCCTTTTCGCTTTCTAAAACAGCTTCTTCATCGTCCTGAAACATGAGGAAGGGACAGGTTTAATTAAGACCTTCCTTCTTCTAAGGGCCTCTCAAATTCGACAAGAATACAATTATTAGATACTAACCAAAGTGAAAGTACTTGTTTCATCTTTGGCATCTGCGGATCCTTGATTGGTGAGAAAGATTGAACATAAAAGAGGAATCATGTCTTGTTCACTATCTTGCAACTCTTCTGGATTAGTGATCGGAACACTAGCTGCAGCGAGCCTTGACCTACAACAAAATAATAACTGATTAGAGAATTATTTTCAAGACATTGGGTATGAGTCAGATCATAAATATCATGAAATCAGGAGTTTCCCCAATTTGCATAGAAGGCAATCAGTGACTATGTTTTCCGAAAAGAGCAAAGGGTTTGGTACCTGTTTATTCCGTTTTTCTCCACCAAGTTTACCAGTAACCCCAAGATGGCAACAAGAAAATCTAATTCCTGGTCTGTGAGATGTTTATCTTTCTGATGGCATGTCCCGGACTCCATCAGACTGAAAAGCGGAGATCTGGTGAAGGAAGGAAAGTGTCCAACAATTAATTCAGCCATGCTCTCCAGTCCTCTGCAGGCAGCAAATTCCCGACAACCAACAGAATTATCATTTGTTAAGTTCATTAATACCTGAAAATATGTTCACAGTATCAGAAAGTAGCAAGGGATCACATGATATCCTCACATATCTAAACAGATTAGCATAAAAGGTGACATTCCATTCTGTTCCAAATATAATTTCATTCCAGCTGCAGAAATTTGTTACATAACAGAAAAATAATTGTTAAGAAGACTGTACATTACCTTCACGGCTGTTAAAAGACAATCAGATAAAAGACAGAGACATCCTTTATCAATGTCATATGTTGAAGAAGGTTGCTCTGTTACATGGCGATCTCTATCACTTGATTCTTCCTGGGAATTTAACCCATGGTTTGATTCCTCCTGGCTCGAGAAGAGCTGAAGCGAGCGTTCATCTTTTTTATCTCTGTAGCTTCCCTTCCTCTTTTGACCTTTAGATTTCTTTTGCTTTCCTAATACTACTGCCCATTTGGAAAGTCCCGAATCTTCCAAATCAAATGAAAAAGGATCTTGACTATCCTCGAAGGATGAGAAGTTTTCAACTTTTTTACAACTGGATTCTCTAGTTTGGCTAGTCCTTGCATTACTTCTGGAAATGCCACTACCCAATGAGGCTAACCTGCCTGCAAACGACCCAGTGTTGGAACCAGCTATAGTCGTAGGCGTGCAGGGATAAACTGTTGACAATACACTTGATTGAGACCCTGGTTTTGGTGTCATTGAGCAACCTAACAGGAATGCAGACTGATTTCTCTTGGATACACAACTTTTTATGGAGCTACAGCTAGTGGTAGAGCAAGTATCTGAACTAATAATTGTCACAAAGTCCTTGTTAACAGCAGAAGATAGATGTGGCTGAGGGTGAGGATGATTTTTGTTCCTGTGAGCACGTAACTGAAGACCTGGTGTAATCATTCCGATCAGACATCAGAATAAGAGATGATAACATCAGAAGGAAGTCATGGTAAAATCCAAAAATAGGTACCGTGTACCTGAAAGTATTTTGATGACGCTTATCATGAGCTCTGGGAAAGATAGTCGGGATCCATGAGAACCCATGTTTTTATTAAATCTGAGCAAATGAATCTGAAAGAAATAATATTTACAGTCATTTTTTTCAGGTGCAGACTGCAGAGCTATTCAAAATAAATAAAAGCTACCTGGTTTTCTGTGCTGAGGAATGTAGCATTCTCCATGATTTTTAGACATTTCAGAAGCAAAATCAGATTCTGCTTATTCAAATCATCTTTTATATCCTCGGCAGAGATTGTGTCATGTGCCACCCAGCTCTGCAAACAAGATATGCATTAGACACTCTATTTAAATACCATTGCAACGGTCCAGTAACCATTGACAACTTAAGTACAGAGTCTTTGCCACCACTAAGACAGAAATCCAACTTGTCCACAACAAACGTATTCTGGGCAGTCACAATAACATTGAACTGTGTTACATCAACAAGAGAATTCTCCTTTTTAGCGAAAGACAAGTAAAGAACTTTGACTTGCAACAAATTGAAATGATATATGATCCTGAGGATACCTGAATAATTCTTAAGCTAACAATCTATGACAATTTACACAAGTTATTGACGTCCTAGCCAAACAAAGATGGGAGTTCTTATCTTAGAGAAAAAAAAACTTATGCTGATAATAAAGACGGAGATAGCAAGATCCCCAAAACATACAGGTTCACACCTCCATTACAGAGTGACAATCCATAACAACATCAAAGACTGCATCAAGTCCTCCAAGTTCTCGCAGTTTCTCCTTGAACATTCCTCCAGATTTTTTCACAGTACCAGAGGTATCTGGATGGGGAAGAATACTATAAATAATTAGAAACGATATAAAACAATTATAATCTTGTCGTAGGATCTACTACCACTGACACATTTGTTAAACTGAATCACCGGAAGTAAATAAAACACAGCAGATAAAAAAAATTTCAATTTCACCAGATGCCTTTTAAATAGTTAGCTAGTCAATGTTCCAACAGAATGGACAAGAAGTTCAAGTACCATCAAAAGAGATTTTTGACAAGCAGGCCTTCTCCATCACCAACAAAGCTACAAATTTTGTACTTAGCTCAGGCCTCATCCTCTCAATTTTATAGCCATCAACCAATCTCAACTCCTTGCAATTCACAAGAATCTCCTGGGCTCTGTCCAGTATATCACAGGAGCTTGAATCATGCATACTGGCTGCATCACGTGCTGCATCAACATCCTTCACTACTGATAAGAGCCTAGATCCTATATTCGGCCGCGGCTTCCCTTTAGTACTAGCGGAAACCACAGGTCTCAACAGCTTGATCAAAAACTTGATAGAGTTGGGTGACTCCATAAAGTGATCATCTTGACCCTAGAATCATGAACATAAAAACTAGTAAACAAGCGAAAACAATGCGAGCATCACAAGCATATTTCACAATGCAAATAAGTTACTTACATCAGTAGTTAGCACAAAGAAAAGGGTAGCTGCAGCAAGATTGCTTGGTATGTCATCAAGACTAAGACCCAAAATTGCATCGATTATGGATTTTGAGATCCTGAAATATACTCATCATTTGGAACTTCATCATCTCGAAGAACAAACCCTAGAAAAAGGAGAGCAATTGAAAATCTAAAGTAGATAAAGCTGACATACCCTAAAGCTCTCAAAGAGCGTCGCTGATATTGAGATTCACAAATCGAGAGTAGAGAAGACAGAGCAGCTCTTCTGATCCTAACTTGATGACCTTTCTTTAACCCATCAAGAGCGAAGTTAACCTCGTCCTCATTCTCCATTAACTCGCCGAATTCTTGCGTCTCCATCAAAGTCGAATTCAAACCAAACCCTCCACCACCGTTTCTGGGTCTCTTAGCCCTCTTCTGAGAGAAATCATCATCCGAAAAATTGGATCTTGAAGAATAATTCCAGAGACAAGATGACTCTTGAGTGGAGAAATCAAGTGGGTCGAGTTCTGGAGATGAAGACGACGAAAAAAGATACTCCGCCTGCGAAACGTCGTCGTTTAACATCCCCGGTTTGCGACGGCCGTAAGTTCGCTCCATCATCGCCTAGAAAGAAAACTTCGAAATTTTCTCTTCTTTCGCAGATTTTTAAGTTTTGCCCAAACAAAAAAAAAAAAAAAAAATCAACACAAGAGTATTTTCGGTATATAACATTATCGAGTATTTATTTATTATTTTCTTATGTTGTCATGTATTGACCGCATAGCGCAGTGGATTAGCGCGTCTGACTTCGGATCAGAAGGTCGTGGGTTCGACTCCCACTGTGGTCGGTGGTTTTTTTTTTCTTTTTTCTTTAGCCTATTAGGGTTTATACCAAAACTTGTGCTTCGAAGATTGGAGGTTCTTGCCACAGTTCTTTGTGGGTTTTCTTCTCTGGGAGGAATCGAGAAAGACGAAACATGGCTTCTTCTTCTGCATCTCTGAAAAGAAGAGAGCAACCAATTTCGCGAGATGGAGATCAACTTATCGTTACTCCTTTAGGTGCCGGAAGTGAAGTGGGTCGTTCCTGTGTTTACATGTCCTTCAGAGGCAAAAATATTCTGGTCAGTTTCTCTCCGTTTTGTTCTAATCTTGCAAATGTGTTTGATTTTGGTGTTTGGGGCATTTTCTTAGTCTTGATTTTTGGTTGTGTTGTACAGTTTGATTGTGGGATTCATCCTGCGTACTCAGGCATGGCTGCGTTGCCTTACTTCGATGAGATTGATCCTTCGTCCATTGATGTCCTCTTGATTACTCAGTATGTTTCCTTCTTCTTCCTCTTTTGGCTAATACCCATTAAGAAAAACAGAAACTTTGAAGTTGATTTATGAATGTTTATAATCTTTCTCATCTAAAGAGATAAATTGGGAGGCTACTAGAGCCAAACTTTCTCGGATTAGTTCAAAGCTTGTAGGAGGCAAGAGTTTGTTCCTTGTGTCTGTTTTTCTACTTGAAAGAGTTAGTGTTTTTTTGTGAAAGGTTTCTTGGGTTTAAGATAACAAACAATGGGTTGTTGTTTTCCTTTGTAGCTTTCATATAGATCATGCAGCATCCCTACCTTATTTTCTGGAGAAGGTTTGTTTCTCTTTTCTGAATGATTTTGTTTTGTTGATGTGTTAGAACATAGCTGGGAACTAATTCAGGTTATTGATGTTTAATTAGACGACATTCAATGGGCGGGTTTTCATGACACATGCAACAAAGGCAATCTACAAGCTGTTGCTTACAGATTATGTAAAAGTGAGCAAAGTGTCTGTGGAAGATATGTTGTTCGATGAACAAGATATCAACAAGTCCATGGACAAAATTGAGGTTAGTACTGCTTTGTATCATATGACTATGTTTATACTATCACCACTCCATTGTGTTCGGTATAAGTTCAAAAGAAATTAAATTGGTTTCAAGACAGGGATTGATGAGTTATGGTTTATATTTGATTCCTCTGTAGGTAATTGATTTCCATCAAACGGTTGAAGTAAATGGCATAAAGTTCTGGTGTTACACGGCAGGCCATGTTTTGGGTGCAGCCATGTTTATGGTGGATATAGCTGGTGTCCGAATCCTCTACACAGGCGACTATTCCCGTGAGGAAGACCGACATCTGAGAGCAGCTGAGCTTCCTCAATTCTCCCCTGACATATGCATCATTGAATCCACTTCTGGTGTCCAGCTTCATCAATCTCGTCATATTCGTGAGAAACGCTTCACTGATGTAATCCATTCAACAGTTGCTCAGGGCGGACGTGTGCTGATCCCGGCTTTTGCACTAGGCCGTGCTCAGGAACTTCTCTTGATTTTAGATGAATACTGGGCGAACCACCCAGATCTACACAATATCCCAATCTACTATGCATCACCGCTCGCCAAAAAGTGTATGGCGGTTTACCAAACCTACATATTGTCTATGAACGACAGAATCCGCAACCAGTTTGCAAATTCTAATCCGTTTGTGTTCAAGCACATTTCTCCATTAAACAGCATTGATGATTTTAATGATGTCGGTCCATCTGTGGTTATGGCTACTCCTGGAGGTCTTCAAAGCGGTCTCTCAAGGCAACTCTTTGACAGCTGGTGTTCAGATAAGAAAAACGCTTGTATCATACCGGGTTATATGGTGGAAGGTACACTGGCGAAGACGATAATTAATGAACCGAAGGAGGTGACTCTTATGAATGGTCTTACTGCTCCACTCAACATGCAAGTGCACTATATCTCGTTCTCTGCTCACGCAGATTACGCGCAGACGAGCACGTTCTTGAAAGAGCTCATGCCTCCTAACATCATCCTTGTTCATGGTGAAGCTAACGAGATGATGAGGCTCAAACAGAAACTCTTCACGGAGTTTCCCGATGGAAACACAAAGATCATGACCCCGAAGAACTGTGAGTCCGTTGAAATGTATTTTAATTCTGAGAAATTGGCGAAAACCATTGGGAGATTGGCGGGAAAAACACCCGATGTTGGCGATACAGTGAGCGGGATTCTGGTGAAGAAAGGGTTCACTTATCAGATAATGGCACCTGATGAACTCCATGTTTTCTCACAGCTATCAACAGCAACTGTAACTCAGCGGATTACAATCCCGTTTGTAGGAGCTTTCGGTGTGATAAAACATCGCCTCGAGAAGATTTTCGAGAGCGTGGAATCTTCGACAGATGAGGAATCGGGGCTTCCAGCACTGAAAGTACATGAAAGAGTAACGGTGAAACAAGAGTCAGAGAAGCACATCTCACTTCAGTGGTCATCAGATCCGATAAGTGACATGGTTTCAGACTCCATTGTAGCTCTGATTCTCAACATTAGCCGCGAAGTCCCCAAGATCGTCGTGGAAGAAGAAGATGCTGTGAAATCCGAGGAAGAGAACGGGAAGAAAGTTGAGAAAGTTATATATGCACTTCTTGTGTCACTCTTCGGGGATGTGAAACTAGGCGAGAATGGGAAGCTTGTGATCAGAGTCGATGGTAATGTCGCTCAGCTCGATAAAGAGAGTGGAGAGGTAGAGAGTGAGCATTCAGGTCTTAAGGAAAGAGTAAGAGTAGCTTTTGAGCGGATTCAGAGCGCTGTGAAACCAATCCCTCTCTCAGCTTCTTAGTAGCTTTTTAAAGTCATCGTTGAGGTTTCTTTAATCATCATAGAGTTTTATCCATCTGATGATGTTTCTTCTGTTTCCATGTTTACTAATAGTGACGATTAAGTCTAATGGATGTTATTAATAATGTGTTTTATGAAACTTTGCTGCTTCCTTGAGTTTACTGTGATGATGATCAAGTCTTATGGATGTTATCAAGTACGAGTTTTTAACTTTTTTTTGCATAAATCACCTTTTTTTTTTTACCTTCAAATCACATCGTAAACATCTGCAATCTTAATTTTAAAACTAATCTATGATTAAAACTGAAATTTTTAAAAAAAAATCAAAAAATTGTTTTTACAGTTTCTCTTTTTGAATGATGTGACAAAAACATGTAGGCGGGAAAATCAAAGGCAAAAAAATTCTCTCTTGTTTTGTTCAATTTCTTCCAAAATTGCTATTTCGTCTTCGAATCCAGACACAACAAAGCCGAAATCGAACCTGATGTCCTGACCTATTGAGAAGTATTATGTAAATATCATATAGTTATGATTGTGTTTCCATTTACCGTAAGATTGTATCTTGCGTATCACGTTTAGAATATTCTAGTAGGGTTCACAACTCTGGTTGAATATCAACACAAGCATCTCTTTCTCGCTATCCTTTCATGACCCAAACTGATAACTATGTCGTCAGCCTACGAGTATGAGAGGTTCTCTCGTTCTCAAATTGTTGCTTATCTCAAGCAGGGTGAGATCGCTAGCGTTAAAGAAGAAGATCTCAAAAACCCAACTTTCGACTTCGTCTCCGAGCTTTACACCAGAATTCTCATCTACCTCGACGCTCTCGACGAGTATGTATTCCTCAAAACCCTCTCTTAGCTCTTCACTCAATTTTACCCTCGGTTTTGAAATTTTCGTCTGATTTTTCGACTTCTAAGTAAATTTGAAAACCCTAATTTGTTTTCAATTTGGAGAATTTCTAATGATGCTTCCTTTTTTTGAATTGCGTTTTTCCAATATCAAATCCATTTGTAGAGAAGAGAAAGAGCAAGTTGATTATGAAGCTTTGGAGCACTTTGAAAATCCAGAACATCATGCCACCTCAATGCAATCTATGAAACTTTATTACAAAGTGAAAGATATGTTACATATGCTTCATTGTCCATTAAAGATTACTTACAAGGATCTGTTACGCCCGGAATCATCCCGAACCGAGTGTTTCTTCAGCTCACTTTTGACTTATGGTCTATACAAGTATGTCCTTCTTGCTTCAAATCTTGTTCATGCTCTTAGTTTAATTTCTGCTTGAAAGTTAAGTTAGCTGAGTTCTCTCTAGTTACTGTTGTGTTTTGAAGGAATGATGAAACAGAGAAAGAGATAATGATCTCTTCTCCTTTGAAGAAGACAAAGAACGAAATATAAACTTTTATTGAATCTGAAACTTGTTGTTTTGTTAAGACAAGACATACACACTTATATACATGTTTACATAACTACTCCACTTAACCGTTGGTAACAGTTGTAACTTCTCCGACAAGTTACGTCTCTTACTCACACCCGTTCGTGGTAACACATTACATCCGTTGACTTTACATACAAAACTAATACATATGATATTAGAAGATTTAATCGTGGACTCAATTCTAACAGTTCCTACTTCGAGAAGATGAGTTCTTTATTTGTCTCACTTGACTTAGATGGAAACAAGAGTAGAAATATTTGAATCTCAGATGGCTTTTAGATTCCACAATATCTCTATAAGTTGACGCTCTCATGATTATTTACATATTCTTTTCGTACCAGAGATGAAAAAATGGAACTAATAAGACCAACGTACGATAGAAGAGTTGGGACTCCTTGATGATCAGCGTAAGCAGCGGGAGGCAAAGGTTGCTCAGGTAATGCAAGAAAAATATGCAGAGATTGGAGAATTTGATGAAGGGATTTACCTTTTGTGCAAGAGCTAGAAGCCAACATTGAATAACTGAATCATAAAATATTAGCACTAAATAATCAGCAGATGTCACTGCGAGCTACCTTCTGGAAAATGAGAGAGAGGAGTACACAGATGGATACGGCGGTAAGGAACCGCAGGATATGGTGTTGAGCTAAATTGGGTTCTGTGATTTAATTTATACTGAAGTTACCTTGATCAAGTTGGTGAAGAAAATGACGTGTATTTCTCACTACAGATTTCCAATGCAGAGGTTGACCTTGTGCAAACTGTTCAAGAAAATGCAAACCTCCGCTCGCAAATTGTTCAATCCCCAGACAAATTGCAGGTATATTTTTGTTCCTACTAGCATTAGTCCTAAGATAAAGTTTTTGTGTATACACTAGTTTAAACGTTTGTTGTGGGGACAGGGAGCTTTAGAAGAGAAGAAACTAGTACTTGGGGAAACAAAGAAAGCTGAACAAGTAGCAATTGGATCTTTCCAGGAAAAGGCTGCCATTCTTGAGGTTTATGAAAAGGTATCTAATAAAAACTCTAGATTATTACTTGGTTAGCACGTAGCTAAATGCATTGAGGACATCCTTTGCAACTTGATGGTTAACTTTGGAAATAAATGTTATTCTTCTAAGTTTGGTGTTTATTGCTCTATCACTTTTGTTCATACTTCACGAAATTCTGTTCAGGAGCTTTAGGAAGAACTTTGTTTATTTAGATTGAGACCTTATTCTAAGTTGTTACTTGAATTTTATGTGTTTAGTCTTACAACATGCTCTCACTTTTGAGTTTAATAAATTTACCATCAAAGTTTTGATTTACTATTGAGGTAATATCATTCAACTATGGGTGCCTTTTGCAGGCCTTCAAGAATATTTCAAAGTCATCCTCGCAACTGCAGTTAATCAACGAACAGGTGACCAATCAAAAAGACTCATTTCCTCTTTCATTACTTGTAGATTGTGAACCATGTATTAATTGTATCTCTAGCATGCGGCAACACAAAGACCCTTCCAATTATCGGAATGAGATCTAATGTGTCTTTGAGTTATCGTTCATTCTTATGTGTGTTTGATGATGTTACAGGTAAACAATGCGAAAACGGTTGAGAAAGAATGCAAAGCTTTTAAAGCTAAGCTGAGCGAGGATGGAGTAGCGTACAAATCACTTGAGGCAAAAGTGGTTGAGCGGGAAGGAATATGTAAGTTCTGGTTTATTTCTTCCCTCATCAATAATTCCGTAATTTTGTTTTGGAACGGAGACTGTAATCCTCTATTCTGACAACAGTGGAACAGTTGAACGAATCATTGAAACAACTAGAGAAAGAAAAAGCAGTCATGTTTGATGAGTGGACAAAACAATTGAATGGATTAAAAGTGGAGGTTGAATCCAGAAGACGTGAACTTGAAGTCAGGCAAACCAATGTTGAATCAGTAGTAGCTATGGTATTGCTCCGCTCCCTTTCTTTCGAACATCTAACAACATGAATCTGTTGTGCACTATGCTTTATCATCGCCGTAAGTTTTCTTCCTTTCAACAGGTTGATGACAATACTGCCAAGACTAACCAGGTGAGACAGTCAGGAGAACTTAAAGTGAAACAATTGGCCGCTAAATATGAAGAGATCATGAAGCAGGTTTCTTTCGTTTCCTTGATTTTCATCTGAATTCTGTCAAGATAAGGCAGATCTCCGAAATGGTTAGGCCTAATTATATATTGAAGATAATGAAAATGAGCAGTTAAAATATGTCAATGTTCTGATCTGAAATTTGGAGAAACATGCCAACTTCGAAATGCTTATATAAATTGAACCATGGAAACAAAAGCTTTGTGCTGCAACAAATTAAGAGGTTTCCAAAGTTAAAACAAGTGCTATGCTTCTTTCAGATTCTGTGTAAGATATATATATATATATATATATATATATATTGAGCCTTGCTTTTGATGTTTGCAGTTTCATGAATACACGGTGTCGTTTGGTGCGTTTCTACCAAGCCTCTAAAGCAGAAGACAGGTCTGATTGTTAGAATCACTCTATTGTCTAAGGTAGAGCGAGAGAGAGAGATTTGTAATGGTTAAGAATCGATTAGACATTTTGCTACAAACACGAAAGACATTACTAGTGTTATTGTATTAAGAGGAGATTAGGTGAGAGACAAGATTTTAGACCCAAATTAGTTCTTAGACAAATTTCAAAGATTTTTCGTTCTTGTAATCTCCATGCAGATTGTTTAGCCAAAACATTTAAAATTTTAGTTTTGAAAATTTGTACATAAACTCTTTTCCTCTTGATTGGATTACCAATAATAATTTTTTAATTAATGTGTAGTTGGAAAAAAAATCACTCATAAGTCTAAGAATGTCCTGACAATCATAATTTTTTTAAGAGATTTCAAAATGTAGACAGTCAAAAGTTTTAGGAATTATTCATGATTTTAAGAAAATTGAAATATAATCGACAAAAGTTCTTCAATATTAAAAGTCACGGTACCAATATTAAAATGCTTAAAAACTTTTATATATTTTTACTTTTGTAGAACAAACGTTTTTATTTATTTATTTATTTTAAAAATGCTTCTACCGTATCTGGAGACTGCAGTTTTGTAGGATTTTAATCTAGTCGGCCCCCTGTACTCAAAATCCATTCCATTTAGCCCCCGTAATAAAATTAATATAGTTAATAGTTTATTTTAATTCAGAAAAATAGTAAAAGACAAATAAAACAAGGAATTTTCACTTATTTACGATCCAACCAGTCAGTTGGATCTAGATCCATATGACTTTCGGATCTTTTATCCCCAAAGTCAATCCAAACACTAATTTCCAAATCACCTTTTTTTTATTTCTCCTCTCTACGACTTTTTCATCTTCTTCGTTTCTCTCTGTCTCGAGTCAACAATCCGACAAACACAAAGCTTTCAATCTCTTTTCTTCTTCTTCTTTCTTCTTTTTTTTTTTCTCTCTTTTCTCGATTCCATCGATACTCATTCATCTTTTTCATCTTCCCTCTTCACTCGTTTCTATCGATCCAAAGATCCGTCCTCTCTCTTCTTCTTCGTGAGAAATTCGCAGTGAAATCGAGAAATCCGCCGTGAGAAATCCGCCGTGAGAACTCCGCCGTGTCTTCTCTTTGTAAGATTTCATTTGTTTGATCCCTAATTTTGTTTTATTGTGTTGGGTTTAATTAGGATTTGATTTCTGTGAGGGTTTGATATGTAATTCTCTTTGATTTTGTTTGAAACAAATGCATTTTGAATGGAATTTCGATTACAATTAGGATTTTTTATGATTACAGTTCGGATTTTAAGATTACTAATAGGATTTGAATTACAATTCGGGTTTGAAATTCGGACGACATGTAGCTACTTTTTCTTGTTTTTATTTGGAGATATTGAGTGAAAGTTGTAACTTTGTTTGTAAACTCTTCTTAAAATGATTAATTTCTCTTGGTCAATTTTGGAAGAAATCTGGTTTCAAGTAAGTTAATAAGGAGTGGATTGCAGACATAGATGAAATTTTTTGTACGTATATATTAGCCTATAACATTTGTTTCTCTATTACGAGAGGAGGAAAAGGAAAAGGAGACTGAGACTGAGACTGAGAAGGAGAAGGAGAAGGAGAAAGAGAAGGATAAGGAGAAGAAGAAGCAGAAGAAGACTTGGTGTGTTCAGATGTGTTTTGGTTTCTAATGTTATGTATGATTCTAAGTGTTTAGGTACAACTGGTACACTTATGTACAACTATGTATCTGGGTTTGTATGAATCTAAGTTTTTTTGACAGAAAAATCACCAAAAAACTATGAGTCAAAGTGTTTTGATCAAAAAATTCACAACAACACTATGAATCTACTAAGTATGTTAAAAAATATATAGTGTTGAAAAAAAAAGTATTTTACTTTTTTTTTTTTTTTGGTGAATCTAAGTATTTTGATTAAAATAAAAAATAAAAGAAATATCTACAAATATCTAAAAATATCTGAGAAATATCTAACATAAATATCTAAAATTTGTTCATAGTTGTACAGTTGTACTCGGTTGCACATTTTTGCTCATAGTTGTACAATATCGAGAATTTAGTAAATCTAGTTGTTATCAACTCTAAATTAATTTTTGTGGGTGGAACCGATGGTATTGTCTCATCAAAATATCATTTCTTTGTATGAGTGTAGTTATATTTATCAAAATACAAGTATTTCAAAAATTTAAATTTTTTTAGTTCAAATCTACAAAGTAACAATGGAAGTATAAGGTTGTTAGTGTATGAATGTGAGATTTTGTGATAAGAATTTCACTAATTTAGGAAAATATGAATTTTTTTGTCAAAAACTTCTTGTGTAGTTTCATTACCACCGAGTATGCATTTTTTAAGATTTTTTTATTTGGTTTTAAATTTTCATATTATATAAAACTCTGAAAACTAGCCAAGGCAATAGACCTTAGTTGTACAGGTTGTACTTAGTTGTACCAAGACAAAACAATTTAATTTGTATAGATACGATAAAAAAATCAACCAGAGTTGTATCTGTTAAAACTTAGTTGTACGAAACAGAACAAGTAAGTTTCACAAACAAAACCAATACAAACAACATCGCTTCTTAAATCATCCTAATAATGGCACTTAGAAATCAACCTTGGTCACCCTCATCGTCCCATCAACGTCACCATCATTGTTACCATCATTGGTAAACCACTCGCCTAAACTACTCGGCCTCTTCGACCTCTTCTTACCTCATTTTCTTCTATGTTCTCCAAAGCATAAGCACAAGCAAATTAAAGTGCATGACTGAATTCTTTTTTATTGTCCCTGAAAAAGAAAGAGAGAAAGAAAATGGTCTATAATTTTATATTTTTCGTAGCAGTCCATCAACATAGTTGTACTCATTTGTCCCAATTGCACCAAATTTAGGGTTTCGGTAATATTATACTTAGTTGTACCTAATGGTTTCAGTTGTTCCAAATCTACAATTCCCAATTTTTTCTACCAAAAACTGCATTCAAGCTACGAATTCAACTTTTCTCAATCATAATTCACTAAAAAAACAAGTATACTTACTAGTGGATAGAGAAGAAGAAGTAAACAACGAGCTTTAATGGTGGATGGAGAAAAAGAAATAGAGAGGAAATATGTCATTGAAGATGCTTGAATCGTAAGAAGAAGAAGAATTTGATTTTTTTTAAGTTTTTTGATGGAGAAGAAGAAGAAGAGATGAGATATGTCTTTGGAGATGGAGAAGAAAAAAAAAGAAGAAGAAGAAGAAGAGAGGAGAGGAAATATGTCGTAAGAAGAAGAAGAATAATCTCATTTTTTAAGGTTTTTGGTAGTTAATGAGAGAGGAGAGAGAATGAATATGATTGGTTGCTTTTAAGAATTTGTTGGTAATAAAATTTAATGTAGAAATAAATTGGATAAAAGGCAAGGGTATAGTTGGTTTTTAAATGTATTGGGAAGGAGAGGGGTAGTGAGAATAAGTGAGAGTTTTTGAAAGAATGTTTGGAGGAAAAGGGGCTAGAGAGATTTAATTCCAGTTTCGTATAGGCGGGAAAATCATTCTCTCTTCTTTTTGATTTCTTCCAAAATTGCCATTTCCTCTTCTCAGTTTCTTCGAATCCAGACAACAAATCGGAACCTAACCCAAACTGAAATCTATGTCAGCCTACGAGTACCCGAGGCTCTCTCGTTCCGACATTTTGACGGCCCTCAAGGATTTTCAGATCGCTAGCGTTACAGAGACCGATCTCAAAAACCCAACTTCCGACTTCGTCTCCGAGCTTTACACCAGAATTCTTATCTATCTCGACGCTCTCAACGAGTATATATTCCTCTAAACCCTCTCTTTGCTCTTCACTCTATTTTACCCTCGGTTTTGTCTGATTTCGAAAAACCCTAAATTTTTCAATTTGGGGAATTTCTGATGATGCTTCGTTTTCGACATTGGGTCTTTCCAACATCAAATCCATTGTAGAGAAGAGACTGGGCAAGTTGATTTTGGGGCTTTGGAGCAATTGGAGAATCCAGAACATCATGCCACATCAATGCAATCTATGACACTTTATTGCAAAGTGAAAGATATGTTAGATATGGTTGATTGTCCATTAGCCATTAATTTCAAGGATCTGTTACGCCCCGAATCATCCCGAACCGAGTTTTTCATCAGCGCACTTTTGAATTTTGCTCTATACAAGTATGTCCTTCTTGCTTCAAATCTTTTGAATTATGTTCTATACAAGTTAGCTGAGTTCTCTCTAGTTTCTATTTGGATGCACCAAGACCTTTTCACCAGGTTTCTACTTTGAGTAGACGAGTTCTTATTTGTCCCACTTGACTTGGAGATGGAAACAAGAGTACTGCTATCTGAATTTCAGATAGCTTTTAGGAGTTTTCAATGTGCACAGAGTTTAGTAAGGAATAGAAAATTGAGAAAAATTGGTTTGCATTCGAGATGGGGATACATATTACTCTTTCCCCGCTATAATTTGACGCTCTCATGATTATTTTTACATCTTCTTTCCTGTACTAAAGTTTCAAAAATGATGCTCATGATTATTTGCATCTTCTTTTCGTACCAGAGATTCAAAAATGGAACTTATAAGACCAATGGCAGAAGAGTTGGGTATCCTTGACCTGCAGCGGAAGCAGGAGGAGGCAAAGGTTGCTCAGGTAATGCAAGAAAAATATGTATCCCACAGAAGATAGTCATTATCTTTTTCTAATGGCTATACATGCAGTTGAATGCAGAGATTGGAGAATTTGATGAAGCCGTTGAAAGGGATTTACCTCTTGTGCAAGAGCTAGAAGTGAACATTGAAGAACTGAATCAGAAAATATTAGCACTAAATAATCAGCAGATGTCACTGCGAGATACCTTCCAGAAAATGAGAGAGAAGAGTACACAGATGGATAAGAAGGTAAGGAACCGCATGACATGGTGTCGAGCTCCTTCCTGAAACTAAATTGTGTTATGTGATTTAATTTATTATGAAGTTACCTGGATCAAGTTGGTGAAGAAACCGTTTGTCAATTAGGCGATCTGCATATGCTTGAATTTGAGAGACGTTTTCTGCTCCTGACATGTGTATTTCTCTCTACAGATTTCCACAGCAGAGTTTGACCTTGTGCAAACTGTCCAAGAAAACGCAAACCTCCGCGCACAAATTGTTCAATCTCCAGACAAATTGCAGGTATATTTTTGTTCCTACTGGCACTAGTCCTAAGATAAAATTTTATTTATACACAAGTTTAAACGTTTGTTGTGGAGATAGGGAGCTTTAGAAGAGAAGAAACTAGTACTTGGGGAGACAAAGAAAGCTGAACAATCAGCAATGGGATCTTTCCAGGAAAAGGCTGCCATTCTTGAGGTTTATGAAAAGGTATCTAATGAAAACTCTAGATTATTACTATCTTATGGTTAGCACGTAGCTAAATGCATTTAGGACATCCTTTGCAACTTGATGGTTAACTTTTTGAAATTACAAGTCTTAGGTCACTGCGGATACTTCTCTCAAACTATTTGGTTAGAGAATGAGGATTCCAAGCATTATTCTTCTAAGTTTGGTGTTTATTGCGCTGATCACTTTTGTTCATACTTTACGAAATTCTGTCCAGAAGCTTTAGGAAGAATTTCATTTATTTTGGTGTATAGTGGATGAGAGTGAATCCAAGGTGGACATTATTTAGATTGAGACCTTATCCTATGTTGTTACTTCGTAATGTTTTTATGTTTAGTCTTCCAACAGATTTTTGCTTTCATTTTTTAAGCTAAATAAGTTTACCATCAACTATGGGTGCCTCTTGCAGGCTTTCAAGAAAATTTCAAAGTCATCTTCGCAACTGAAGTTAATTAACGAACAGGTGACCAATCAAAAAGACTCATTTCCTCTTTCATTGTTGTAGATTGTGAACCATGTATTGTATCTCTAGCATGTGGCAACACACAGACACTTCCAATTATCGGAATGAGATCCAATGTGTCTTTAGATTTATCTTTCAATTTTATGTATGTTTGATGATGTTACAGGTCACCAATGCGAAAGCGGTTGAGAAAGAATTCAAAGCTCTTAAAGCTAAGCTGAGCGAGGATGGAGTTGCGTACAAATCACTTGAGGCGAAAGTGGTTGAGCGGGAAAGAATAGGCAAGTCTTGGTTAATTTCTTCCATCTTCAGATATTTTTTTGTAATTTTGTTTTGGGACGGAGACTGTAATCTTGTATTCTGTCAACAGTGGAACAGTTGAACGAATCATTGAAACAACTAGAGAAAGAAAAAGCAGTCATGTTTGATGAGTGGACAAAACAATTGAATGGATTAAAAGTGGAGGTTGAATCCAGAAGACGTGAACTTGAAGCCAGGCAAACCAATGTTGAATCAGTAGTAGCTATGGTATTGCTCCCTTTCTTTTGAACATCTAACAACATGAATCTGTTGTGCGCGATGCGCCGTAAGTTTTCTTTGTATTATATATCAACAGGTTGATGACAATAATGCCAAGATTAACCAGGTGAGACAGTCAGGAGAAGCAAAAGTAAAACAACTAGCCGCTAAATATGAAGAGATCGTGAAGCAGGTTTCTTTCGTTTCCATTGTTTTCAGATCTATCAAAACAATAGGCTTGTTGTAGATTATTTGTAAGATATATCTATCTATTGAGCCTTGTCTTTGATGTTTGCAGTTTCATGAATACACAGTGTCGTTTGATGCGTTTCTACCAAGCCTCTAAAGGACAAGGCAGGTCTCATCAGTTGAGCTGATTCAAGGCAGAGGAGAGATTGTAATGAACACATGTTCTCTACAAATGGTTAAGAATTTGACTACTAAATTAATTCCTCTTGTGATTGTATTAAGTCTCTTGTATTAAAGTTGGATAATGTTATGAATTTCTCTTTATGGAATGACATATATTGAAGTACAGTAGTTTTAAAAAAAAAGAATCAAGAGAAAATGAGAATTCTATGTTGAAGTAAAGTGTGGGAGAGTCGAACTCTTGTCTCGAAGCAAATTGAAGTCTCAAAAACCTAACACAATACCATTTTTGCCACCAGCGCTTTAGGTTTTCGAAGAACAATAAAAGTAATTTTGTAGGAAACGAGTGTGCTTCGCGGTGCTTTTTTCAATCATCTTCAATCCTCAATTGCTGTGGATTCGATAATCTCCCAGAACGAGAAGAAATCTACGATCTACGATCCTCGCTACGGAGCAATTCAAATTCGATGACGACGTAGTTTTAACGAAGAAGACGGAGAAGTGCATCGGAGATTCGCAATATGGATCCGGAGCAGACGTTTATTAGGGTTCAGGAGAGGTTTTCGCAGATCTTAACGCCAAGGATTAGAGGTTTCTTAGAGTATACTTACCTCTTCGTTGCCATCACTTTGTTCTGTATACTCGTTGTTATGCACGCCAATTATGTTCAGCAGGTAAATTTTTGACTCTCGTTTTATGTAATTATGAAAACGGTTTCGAGAAGCTTTCTCTAGGGTTAGCCAATTGTACCAGAAACTTTAGGGTCTTGAATATCTAGCTTTAGGATTAGCTAATTGTGTAGAAGAAGATTAAGGTGTTTTCTTTGGGTCATTTATACTGTAAATTGCCTTTGTTAATGAGTTGAAACTTTAAGTATGAGATACTATAATTTGAAAAGGATGATGTAGATTGTCTGTGTTATGTTAACTTCGTTGCATTTTCTCGAGTAGTCTGATATGAATTGTGGAGCTTAAGCTAGTTTTATAGAAGATGTTGGCATGCGCTTCGTTAGGAGACACTACTGTTTGTATCTTTACTAAGGTTGCACTGGTCATAATTATATAGAATCTGTTGAAAGACACTTTTCTGATTTCTTTATATGTTTATTTTCATGTGAAATTTCCAATAGGAAATACTTCCTATGCAAATGCATTTGAATACTTCTAAGATTGCAAACTTCGAAACTCGAAAATCATCTATCTGTGAAGATTTTCTGTTGGTTTACTTCTCTTCGACTTTAAGAGTTTCATGTAGCCTGCATGCCTTCCTAAGATATTTCTTGCTAGACTCTTCTCTTATCTGGCCTTAATTGTTCCTCTCTAACTAATTCCATTAATCTTGTTTTCTTGGAAAGCCTGGTTGTTCTAGTGAGCTGACTGGAGTTGAGTTAGCTGAAGCAGAGCTTATGCAAATTAAGGTGTGTGGCTGTTATCCCTTCTGTCCTTCTGATGCTAGCTTGCATAATTAGTGAAAAATCTAGATTTTCCAGGCCTTTGATCTGGTTCCTCACTCGTACTTTGAAAGTCTCTTTCTTGAAATCAGTTAGCCATAAATAAAATCTGTACTCATCCTTAGTTCTCTAACCATCTGATTTCTGTGATATAGATAACAAGTGCAGGGTTGTGGTCACGTAATGATGAAAGTACTGCTGCAGATGTTCCTCGAGTTGTAACTGCAACTGATAGTTTAGAAGTCTCAAAGAATGATCAAGGTGATTGTTTATATTCATGAGTGGGCAGTGGGTGAATTGGTTTGGATAGACTGCTGGTAGGAGCTCAATATCTTTAAAGTTTGCAGGGACTGATACTGCCTTGTTTGCTATCATGTAGAAAGCTCTACCAGTGAAGAAAATGCCGATGATATATTTGTGAAAATTGATAAGGAAGAGCCCCGCAGTAGTTTCTCAGTGTCAGCAAAAGAGAATGTCAGAGCAGCTCTTCTTCGCTTTCTCAAAAAGTGTTATAGGCGCATATCTTTCGTTTTACAGCATACAGCACGGATCCTCAGAGGTGTTCGAAAAATATGGGTGAGTTATCTCTTAAATGACTTAGAATATGTAAATATGGGTGAGTTATCTTATTTCCTGTTTTTTCTCAAATTCTGACTTAGATAGTGCGTATGGCTGTCATATATAGATGTTGTATCTCCTCTGCGAGGTTTCCGTTGGATATTTTTGGTATATTACTTATAAAGCATGGTTCTTAAGCAGCGTTCCTTTGATCGGAAATATATGTTACTGAAAATTTAACTGGCACGTGGCTCAATCGTTAGGGTGTGGAGATTTTTCAGTAGCTTCTCCCTTTATTTTGTCAGGAAAATGGACTTAGGTCTATCTACTAATTTAGCTCTTTAGTGATATCTGTTTTTGGTGCCAGTACTTAGGTCGTCTGATGGGTTACAATCCTGATTGTTTATAATTTTAGTTTTTTACTAAAACAAATTATTTTGCTCTTCAAATTTAAATGCAGAACATCATTGGCATACCGTTGAATCTTGATGTGCCCAAATTGTTGCATGTACTGTATATGGATAAAGTCAACTACTATGCAGGTAAAAGCCACCTCAATAGAATTTCTGTTTTATATTTACTTTGGTTTTGTTCTTCATCATCTGAATGAACCATCAAACAATGATGACCGGTTACAAAATGTAAAATGAATCTGAATACATTACATTTCTTTTTTGAAATTTATTCCTTGGTTTGAGCTACGCAAACCACCAAATAAATTTTCTGTCAACCGCCCCCTTCTTAATAACCTTTTTACGATTTTACATGTGAGAGGTTTAGCTATTAGAAGAGTAAAATCACACAGATTTGGCTTTTTGCTTTGCTTTGGGTGGCGAGATGTCTATCTGAACTGCTATGTTTTATCTGTTTGTTGATTTTTCCAGTTCAGTGGCTTGAGAGTAAAACTCAAGAGTTTGAGCCAACATATCTATATACCATGGAAAAGGTAAACGTTATTCTCTTTCAAGAATTTAAAGCTCACTAGTGGAAAATGCTCGAGCATCTTATCAAAGAAAGATGTGAAATGAGGAATTCTTCGGTTGAACTTCTGGTTTGGTCTCAGAATTGTGTTGTTCTTTTTTTATATAGGGTTACTTTTTACTGCCTGATGAAGCAAAATCACGGCATAACATTCGCACTGCAAATGTCAGCATATCGGCACGGCATCCCTGCTTTGGGAACAGGTAATATTCACATTATTGACCCTCAGTTTGGACTCTGGAAATAGTTATTTTAATTGCTAGGGCTGTATCCTAATGATAAGATTCTTAAATTGGATTACTTTTTCAGGTGGCAGCAACTTCTTATAAACAGAGTTGTAGGATATGATACTATTATAATGAATAGCTTACAGAACTCTGCTGGTCAAGGTAGGTAATAGGTGTTTGTCTTGTTGATAATGTCCATGCAAGTTTTACTATGTGTGGGTTCCTTTGAGGCCTGTGATTCCTCAACTATGTGTTTGTCTTTTCTTTTGTATATTGTGGGCAAACTGTTTCTTTCTGAAAGGTTAGGCTACCACTAAACAGAGGTTGCCTGTTTATCTAATTGTAACTTTGAACTAAGTTATCTCTGGGAATTCTAGTCAGAGATTAGTGTGCAGCAATCAATTGGTTCATGCATGACTATGTAAAATGTAAAATAACCAATGTCGTTGTTGGTAGCTATTACATGATATTTCCATCTGTCCTTATTGCTGCTTATGTCCCTTTGATTGTTTCTATCTATGTGCTATTGTGAAAGCTGCAGTTTGCACCCATATGACTGCCAACTTCCTCCATTACAGGTTATCTATACAACTACCAGACAAGAGAGTTTTACAATCTCAGTTACTCCCAAGAACTTCCTGAAGGTTCTGCGCAATTCGGAGGTTTGTCATTTTCTGTCACGTTAACAGCATATGGTTAAAACTTTCCCTTGCATCTCGCAAGTCTATCGGTTATGAGCGTTATATTAGATTGGATCTCACCAAGGCTGCTTTATTAGCTCTTGGAACTTTATCTGTATTTTTGTGTAAGCATTTACTTTAAGAGTAATATTATTGTTCTGGGTGTATGCAGATTACTTGGTAACGAAATGTGGTGTGCTAATGATGTCACTTTTTGTGTTTTTCACAACCACAATGTCTGTGTCATTCACATTGCGAGAGACACAAACTCGCATGTTAAAGTTCACAGGTTTGTATTGCTTCTATTCCAATAGCTAATGGCTTCCCATCTTTGCTTCTCAACAATAATCTTTGTTTCGATATCAATTTGTTGCAGTGCAGCTTCAACACCATGCCCAGCATCGGTTACCAACATTTCAGTTGATCTTTGTACACGTGATCGAATCGCTTGTCTTTGTACCAGTATGCATACAGATCCCTGCTTTTTCATTCCAAGATTTCAGAGGATTCTGTTGACCGACATGATATAACTATTTGAAATTGCAGATTATGATTGGGATTCTGTTCTTCCTGTTTGAGTTTTACGACGATCAGCTATTGGCTTTCATGGTTCTGGTTCTTGTCTGGCTATGCGAATTATTCACCCTGATAAGGTTTTTGGTCTCCTCTTTTGCCTCAGTCACCTGTCTATTCACTATCGAGCTCCCTTATTTATGATGATCTCGCTGCCAATTCAAAATTATGTGTTTTTTACCTGTTCAGTGGAATAGTAACAAAGTCCTATCTTCCCAATATTGCAGTGTCAGGACACCAATATCGATGAAGTTCTTCCCGCGTTTCTTCTTGTTGTACTTCTTGGTGTTCCATATTTATTTCTTCTCGTATGCATATGGTAAGAACTGAGGTTTTACCTTAGATTTGTCTCATTAACTACTGAAATTTCAGACGCTTTCACTTACTGCGTAACTCTCAACAGGCTTTTCTTATCTCGCCCTAATGACAACCGCTGCATTCATGCAACACCTAATTCTATACTTCTGGAACCGTTTTGAGGTAAACGTTTGATTGCAGCAACTCAAAGATTGACCAAATCCAGAGAAGCTAAGCTTCAATTCAAAGTTTGTATCTCAAAATTAAACACACAATTACAGGTGCCAGCTCTTCAGAGATTCCTTCAAAGCCGACAATCACACCTTCAGCAACACCCAGACTTCCACATCACTTCCTCAACAATCCTAGCATCAACTCTTCACATCACAAGGCTGAACAG